CAGGCACGCACTACCATGCCCAGCTGATTTTTTTATTTATTTATTGTAGAGATGAGGTCTCACCTAGTTGCCCAGGCAGGTCTCGAACCCGCGGGCTCAGGCAATCCACTCACCTCAGCCTCCCAAAGGCACAGGATTACAGGCTGAGCCACTGAGCCCAGCTAGATGAGTTTCTTTTGCAGGTGGCATAGCTTAGATAATTAGAAAAACAGATGGGCAGGTATCCAGCTGGGTGCTGTCTTATTAGGACATAACTCAACAGAACAATACCAACTCTGACCGGGTACCCAAACCCAACCTCAGAATGCAGGGCAACTGATGTACTCGGCTACAGAAACCATAAACAAGAAAATAAGAGAATTACTAGAGGCACTGGGGGATAATACTTTCAGGAAGAAATTTAAACCATAAAACAGTAACTTTTACCATTATCTCAAGATTTTCACAGAAGGCAAGTAACTCAGAAGCAGACAATTAGAAACTTGTGATCAATAGATTGTAATCTACCATATAGCACACAAATCCTAGTTTAAGAAATAGGTTGCTTAATCATCACTAAGAAAATACATAAGCCGGGCTCGATGGCTCAGCCTGTAATCCCACGCCTTTGGGAGGCTGAAGTGAGTGGATTGCCTGAGCCCGCGAGTTCGAGACCCTCCTGGGCAGCAAGATCTCATCTCTACAATAAATCAAAAAATCAGCTGGGCGTGGTAGCGCATGCCTGTAATTCTGGTTACTCGGAAGGCTGAGGCGGAAGGATGGCAGGAACCCAGCAGGTCGAGGCTGCGGTGGCCGGGAGCGGCCACTGCGCTCCAGTCTGGGCGACAGAGTGAGACTCCAACTCAAAAAAGAAAAAAAAGAAAAATACATAAAACAGTTAACAACAGATTCAGGTGTCCTTTCTCTTAAGGCACCCATATTCTCTCTTGAGTGTATCTTTTCTTTCTAATGAAATTTTGTCTTAAACTATACTTTGGACTTGCTCTGAAATTCTTTTCTGTGATGAAGTCAAGAAACCATGGAACAGCTACACCCCACACCATCTGGCATTAAGATGACAGAAAAATCCAGCTGGGTGTTTCCCTCCATCTCTCAGGACAATAAAGCCACTGTCCTTGGGGAGAGGACCTTCTCCTAAGTGATCAGAAACTCTACACTAACTGAAAGGAGGTGGAGATGCAGTTAATATTGCCTTTGGGTGTCCACCTTGCCAGTTATTTATGACCAGTATCCATCCACTTAGCAGGCAGAAGGGATACACATCCTTTTCCCCCTGCCCTTAATGTATACTACTCAGGGACCGTGTTCAATATAATCTTGGATAAAATGTACTTAGGATGATAAATCTGCCATGAAACAAATTTCATAGTTTGACTGTACACAGACCAAAGGACTTTGGCAATAATCCTGATTTGAGCCTGCTGCCCCCACATTACTACCTCTAATCTTCTTTTTCCAGGGAGGAGTCACGTCTTCATCCTCTGTGAGTATGGGGGGCCAAGAAAAGCTGACTTGAGAGAGAAAGAGTGTGAGGCCAGAGGGTCTGGAGGGGACAATGTGATGTCTATTCAGACATTTTCCTTGTCTTTCAGGCTTCCCGGATGCAACCTGGTCTGCTGCGATGGTTGAAGTTTTGGTAGGTAAGTGTCAGAGTGAGCCACCCAAGGCCACATCCCAGGAACTGGGGCACAGTCACCCCTCAGACAGGGCTGGGATTTTGGCGGATCCTCAGATCTCAGAGGGCAGCAACATGAAGTCAGGTTTGCTCTGGGTGGAGGCTCTAAAGGTGCTAAGGAGGAGGGGACCTCATTGTGGAGTATGGAGAAAGATTCTTAAGAAAATGACTTAGGATACTCAGAAAGCACCCAAAGGTGGGACCACACGGGCACAGCTCTAAGAGGAAGATGGTGTTAAAAGTTAAGGACAGTTTGGGAGACCGAGGCGAGTGGATTGCCAGAGCCCACAGGTTTGAGACCAGCCCAGGCAACTTGGCGAGACCTCATCTCTACAAAAAAATAAAAATACAAAATAAAAATACAAAGGTTAAGGACAGGAGCAGGACAGAGATCACAGGGGGAACTGTCAAGAGGTGAGCATATCAGGTGGAAAGGCTCAGAGGCAGGATGAGGCTCCAGAGGGAAAGGGGTAATAGATTAGTTTGGCAGGACGGACCACATAATTTGTTTTAGGTGGGAGCAAAAGTGATGGGTATTCCAGGTAAAATGGCAGGACAGCAAAAGAACTGTTGGAGGATAGACAATGGTGAAAGGATACCCAGTTTCAGCAGATTTAGGGGTGGCTACATTCTATCATTTGATCTCCTTTCTTCTAGAAAACTGCTTCCAGTCACTACTGAGCCCTCAGAAACACCCATCATCATGGAGCCTGATTATACTCCTCCCCCCAACCCTCCCAACCTGTGCCAATCCTGGTCTGGGTGCTGAGACCTCCGGTTTCTAGGTTGAGGACCTGGTTTGTCTGTCCCTTGCTTGCTCCCGCCCTGTGGTGGTGTTCCTGTGACCTCCCGCCTCATTGGACGAACCAGCCCCTTTCTTTACCTGCTGTGTTTTGTGACCTAAAGTCACTGTGACCGTTTTTCAGGAGGAGTTTCCTACTTTTGAGTTCCCTGTGGAAATAAAACTTGTGTTTTATGCATACCTTGTTTCCCTAAGACTTTCCTAAATTTTATTCCTTAATATTATGCTGATGGTCTGAATCAGGCCAGATGGACAAATGATTTAGGGGCAGTTAATTTGCCTTCCTCCTGAGAGGGGTATAAAACGTGGTAGGCTGAGAGAGAAGACCTGGATTTCATGCCTGACAAGAAGCAGTTAGCAGATCTCATTGTACCTCAGTTTCCCCACCTGTAAAAAATAATCTTAGCCAACCCATATCTAAATACCATGCTTCTTGCACTTGAAGCAGTCATAGGTGTTTTGGCAGCCTGAGGAAGCAGAAGTGGAACTATTCATGTCAGGAGGTAGGACTGAATAGGTTGGTTGTTCAAGGGGAGGAGACCAGTCCCAGAGGGCCAGGGAGAGGGCAGGAAATGGGAACAAGAGGCTGGTAGAGACTATACCTTACCATGTAAATAGACTGTGAGGATGAAGGGTGCAGTTTGGTTAACATGGTTAGGAAGTTGGGGAAACTGGGTCAAGCCCAGTACTTATCATAGGCTGTGTTTCTGGGATGCAGAGGGAGGGAGACAGAAAACTTCCACTCCATAAATGTACCCAGGAAACAGGAGAGGTTCTTGGTGCAGGTGAGCCAGGCTTCTCCCAAGCTGAGGAGCCTTTGTGACAGGGCCAGAGAGTCTATGGTTTGGGTCTCTAAGTCCCATCAAGCTGGCACAGCATGCCCAGATTAAGGAGCCCCAACCCCTGAGTCCTCCAGACATTCTTGCAGGGGACCAGGAAGCAGAAGGAAGACATCAAGCATCCTGCCAGCCTAAGTGACTTCCTCCCAGATTGCAAGTTCCCAGAGTGAACAAGTCCGTGCCTGCTAGGTCGTTGCGGCACACCCAGGCTAGGCACAGGACCTCAAAGAGTTGATGAATAAATAAAGAAACCTGGCCCAAAAGTGACTCGGGGAAACCGACTCGATAAACCCACCTGGCTGGGAGAAAGTTCAAGACTATTCCTCGACTCTGCCTCCCCTTCTCATATGGTCCTTAAATGGTGATACTGGTCGCTGTAGGAGGACGTTGCAGTACCTCTTTCAGGCCACAGGGAGGAGACCGTGGGGCCCAGAGAGAATGCCCAATCCTCACTGCTGACCGACAAGGAGCTTCCTGGAGCCCAAGAGGAGGGAAGTAGCTAGGAACTCAGGTCTCTACAAGCCAGTCCCTGAGGGATTGAGGGAGAAGCAGAAGGGGTCTGTATGGTTCTGGACTTTGGGGCGCTCTTGGTCCAAAGGGGTGAAAGCAGCCCTTTCAAGTGACACGAGGCTAAGGTCCTCCGGCTTTAGAGGCCCTCCAACAAAGGGTAGGTGACCCTTTCTCCTGCTGTGGCCTCTCCAGTGACCTGAAGTCCCAGCTTTTGTTTTGTTTCCTTATAACCGACTCTACTGTGACAGCAGGGAAGACTCCCTGCTTAGAACCTGCCACAAGCTTTTCATTAGCCCTGAAATAAAATCCTGGCTCCTCGCCATGATTCGGTGTGATCTGGCTCTGGTCTCCCTCTCTAAAGTCGTTCTGGGTCTTCTGGAAAACACCCTCAGGGGACACCAACTGTTGTTACCGGTTCCTGAGTCCCCAGATCTTTAGAAGGCTAGTGCTTCAACTGCTTTCAGATCTAAACTGAAATGTTCTCCCCAGGCCATCTTAACCAGGATACTCAATCACCATCATATCACATGGTTTTCTTCACAGCACCTGTAATTCTCTGACGTTATCTTGCTTGCTTATTTATTTTTTGTTAGATTATGATCTGTCTCCTCCACTGGAAAATAAGCTCCATAGGGTGGTTACTTTGTCCATTTGAATTACCAGCACCAAGAGCCAAAATGGTCACTCAATAAATATTTACGAACTTGTGAATGGAAGGAGGGATTGGAATTAAGTGGGACCAACCCAGGAAGTTTTTCTGGGAGAAGTTTAAACAAAGGGCACACAGGGTGGGTGGCAAAGGAAGGAACCAGACTTGCTGATCCATGAGGTTGCTTTCTTTGTGTATGGTGATAACTTTGGCAGAGGGAGGAAGGGATGGGATGGGGACGCCCTGGGTTCTGACTCCTAATACTCCACACCCTGGCCCCTTTCTCTCCAAGAATTCCAGGCTTTTCCCCTAAGTGTTCGCCAAGGCTCCAAGGACCCAGTATCCACTCCTCCAATCCTCCATTCCTTCCCTAGACCCAGGAGGCTGACTCCCAGCCCCTAGGTGTGTCTCGTAATGTAGCAATCAGGGCTGGGCCTCACCTCCTACCCATACTCAAGTTCTGGCAGATTTGGGGTGGGGTGGGGGCAGACCTGTGGGAAGACAGGGGTTTACTGGTATTCTCAGAGAGGGAACTAGGAAATCAAGCAGACCTGTAGATGGGGTGTTGCAGAACCACTCTCTGTGACTCTGCCTGACTCCATTAACCCTCCGTGATTCATCAAAAGTTGAGCTGAATCCTGGGCAAACTTTCTTGTCAACCATTACCTGAATTGCTGGGACCCTCTGCCAGTGAGAACTCCCCTATCCCTCTCTTCTCCCACCTCCCCAACTGCTAGACACTGGACACTCAGGGAACATGCACTCACTGAGGCAGTATAGATGGGAGATGAGGAGGAGCTTGGAGAGAGACACTAGATGCTACAGCAAAAATAATGTAAAGATGAAATTACCCTTGAAAAGTCTATCAGCAAGGTGCCAGATGCAAACAAATCATAAGTCCAACACAGCCAGTTTATTTTCCTCAGCATAGGAAAAGAATTTCTTTGGTTGAGCACACAAAGTAGGTGGCTTGTGTTTAGGAACATTCTCCAAAAAGTACCTCTCTTTAAACACCAGAACTTTAAACACAAGAGCTAGAACACTATCTTTAAACACACACTTGGTGTAGCAAGATGCTCAAACTATTACAGGCATCTGGAAACACTGCAGGTTCATTCTGGGGCATATACTCACTGAGTGCTATTAATCTCTTAGTTCTGTTTTTACTTTGCCAGAAGTATACAGTTTAATTCATTTGGATTAATGCATGGAATGCTGGGAGATGTCACCTATGGCTGTGCAGGTTGCATCTCACCTGGTAAGGGGAGCTGGTAGGGTTTCAGTGCTCCCCACTCTCAGGGCATGGGTCTAATTCACATGGGCTGGTCATAGCGCTCTGTAGGACACTACTCCACGGTAGAGCAAAAAAGCAATACAGATTCAGGCTCTGAAAGCCTGGGGTTCTGATGCTGGCCCTGCCACACACTGGCTGCCTGACCTGGGGTAAGATAGTTAACCTCTGTGTGCTCTAGTTCCTCCGCCTATAGAATGTGGATAATTATGGTACCTACCTCACAGAATCACTGTAACATTTCAATGAGATCACATATTCAGAGCACAGCACAACAAGGCCTGCCACATAGTAACCTCTCAATAAGTGGGCTTATATTGTTATTGGCACCATTAGGTGGAGAGGAAAACATAGGGAGGTCAACGTGTTGCCAAAGAACCATCATGGACTAGATTCTAGAACCAAACAGAAGGTTTGGATCATCTGCTGCTTTGGATTACCCTTGCCAAGACTGACACTGGATGCCTCCATTTGCATGTCTAACTATAGCTGATTATACACTATCAATTCTCCTTTGTCTGATTCTTCATTCCTTCCACTCCTGAAGTTGAACCTATGCTGACAGAATGGTGGTTAATCAGCTTTTTTAGTCACTGTTAATTAATTAGTGAGAATTCATTACACATTTTAAAAAGCTGTATCCGCTAGAAAGCATTTGGGAGGAACTCCACCCACTTCTGTCATTCTTTAACTCATCCCCTCCAGGAGCACCAAGGGTACATGACAGTCACTGCCACATGGTCATCTGTGCTTAGGGAGTGTTCCTCAAGCATTGTCATCTCTGGTGGCTCTATAAAGGGGTAGCTGCCATTGTAAAATCAGGCGAGACTTCCTGAGACTGAAGAGGGGCAGGATGCCTGGGACTACGGTATGGGGGGGCAGAACAAGGATTCACCCGAAATGTCCAGCTTCTGAGGTACATGAATGATGTCTAGCCCTCCCACCCTAAGCCTGCTGTCGATGTGCATTGCATCAGGTTGGGGTGAAGAGGCCCACTCTCAGATAAGGTCTTGCTTTGCCCTGGCAGCACTGGTCCAAGTCCCACGCACCTCCCTAATACACCAGGAACCGGTTGGGCCACATGAACCTCATTGTGGAGAAGGCTGCTTGATTAGAATGTTTTATGTTTTGTCACATCGAGTGATCCAACTTCCAAGCTGGGGGTGGGGTAGGATAAGCTCAGTGAAATGGAGTAGGTACCCAAAGGTCAGGATACCTAGATTCCATCTCCAATTAGGTATCCATCTCTTTTTTTTTTTTTTTTTTTT